TCCGGGGGAGGCTCTGCGGGGACGTGGCGCGGACACCCAGCAGCGCCCTTTGAACCTTCCCCAGGACTCTGCAAGCGCCTAGTTCTGGCCGTGGCAGCCCAGGGAGCGGGCGCTGGCTGGGGGGCTGGGGGGCGGGGTTAGAAGTTCTCATAGTGATGCACAAAGTAGGTCTGGTCCAGTTTGTTGATCTGCTGGCAGGCTTGCTCCACGTTCTTGGTCATCCCCGGGGGGCCGCAGCTGAACACGCCAACCTTACACACCTGGGGGAGCAGGAAAGCCGGGGTGTCATGTGATCAGCGCCCCGCCCATTCCGCCAGCCTGGCCCGGCCCGGCCAGCTCTGCGAGGGCTCGGAGCGGTTCCCCCTGCTGCCCCCACGTGCCAGCTCTGCTTGTCTCCCGCCAAAGGAGGGGTGGGCAGCTGTAGCTTCTCACCCGCTGTGCTCCCACCCATCTCCCACCGCCCCACTGCCTTGCGCCAGCCCGGGAGAGGCCAGGATCGGGACCCGCATGCGGACGGGCAGCCACCGACCACGCCTGCCAGCCCAGGGTCTTGCAGCCGATGGGCGAACAAAAGCCGCCTTTGCTTCTCTTTCCCGGAGCCCCGCTGGCGTTTCAGCCGCTGGCTGCAGCCACGGCCCATCCCCCCTTGGCGCCCACAGGAAATTGGCTCTAGTTCTGTCCCCGTTTCCATCTCACTTTCCCCACCACCACGTGCTGGGGCTCCCTTGGGAGAGGGGCTCCCCCACCTGGCACAGCTCCTCCCCCTCCATTCAGCCCTATGGCACATCAGTTAATTTCATCCCCTTTCTTCCAGGTGGGCTGCCTGCATCCCGCTCCTCTGGCCCAGCTCCCTTCCCTCTGCCTCCCGCGCCCCTCCAGCCCCCCAGTCACTGTCCCCGCTCTGCCTGGAGAGCGCCCGAGCGCGCCGGTCCCTTCCCCGCGCAGGAGTGGGCCTGATCGCGGCGGGAGCTCCGGGGGCTCTCGTCCCCACAGCATGGGGACGTTGCGTGTGCAGCCCCCAGCTGCACTGGTCTCTCCTTGCTGTGGCCCGGCGCAAACACGCCAGCCCGCTGGCCGCCAGCCTGGCCGGGTTGAGGTATGTGGGATT